TTTCAGCCACCTGATATTTGGCAAAGGAGCCAAGAACATTCACTTGAGGAAAGACAACATCTTCAGCAAATGGCGCTGGCAAAACTGGATCTTCACCTGTAGAAGAATAAAACTAAACCCCTATCTTTCACCTTTCAAAAGTCAACTCCAAATGGATCAAAGACCTCAACGTGAAACCTGAAACTCTGAAACTGTTAGAAGAAAATTTTAGTAATAACCTACAAGATATAGGTATAGGAAAGGTTTTTCTAAACCGGACATCAATTACTTAGGAAATGAGGTCAAGAATCAACAAATGGGACCTCATTAAACTAAAAAGCTTCTGTACATCAAAAGAAGCAACCAAGGAAGTGAAGAGAAAATAGACAGAGTGGGAGAAAATATTCACCAGTGATACGTCTGACAGAGGTTTAACATCCAGAATCTATAAAAAAACTCAACAAAGAATCAAGAAAGCAAGTAACCCAGTTGAAAGATGGGCTGAGGAGCTGAACAGAGAGTTCTCAACAGAAGAAATAAAGATGGCTAAGAAGCATCTTAAAAAGTGTTCAACATCATTAGTAATTAGGGAAATGCAAGTTAAAACCACTTTGATTTCGTCTTACCCCAGTCAGACTGGTTAAGATCAAGAAAACAAATGATACCAAATGTTGGAGAGGATGTGGGGAAAGGGGAACACTCACTGATGATGGAGGAATTGCAAACTTGTGCAACTCATATGGAAAGCAGTGTGGAGAACCATTAAAAAACTAAAAATGGGGGCTGGAGAGATGGCTTAGTGGTTAAGAGCACTGACTGCTCTTGCAGAGGACCCGGGTTTGATTCCCAGCATCCACATGGCGGCTACGAACCATCCTTAACTTCAGTTCCAGGGGAATCCGAAGCCCTCTTCTGACCTCTGTGGCATTGCATGACATGGGTGCACTCACATACATGCAGGCAATACACTCATACACATAAAATAAAAATAATAAATAAAATATTTTTTTAAAAAACCTAAAAATGAACCTACCATTTGACTTAGTTATACCTCTCCTTGGCATGTACCCAAAGAACTCATCCTATTGCAGAGACACTTGAACAATCCATGTTATTGCTGCACTTTTCACAATAGCTAAGACATGGAAGCAACCTAAGTGTCTCTCAACTGATGAGTGGATAATGAAAATGGGTACATTTACATAGTGGGGTTCTACTCAGCAGTAAAGAAAGATGAAATCATGAAATTTGCAGGTAAATGGATGAAACTAGAAAGTGTTTTGCTAAGTGAAATAACACAGACTCAGAAAAGCTAATGACATATGTTCTCCGTCATATGTGGATCCTAGCACCAAATCCTTATAAATGAGTATGTATCCATGTGGGTCTCTCCCTCCCCTCGTGGGATGTTGGCCACTGATCCATGAAAACAAAGGGAGCAGAAGTGACAAACAGGGTCAGAATGGCCTGTGAGTACAACAGAAAAAGCTTTCCAAGAGACAGCTTCAGTGAGACAGCTCGTTTATTCAGTGGGGGTCAAGGAAAAATATAGGGTGGAGGCGGCAGCCAAAGCTTCAGCTGATAGGTGCTCATAGTATACTTTATTTACATGTGGTAGGGGGATCCTATCATCTAGCTATGGGGCAATGCCTAATTGCCATATTGTCATATAGAAAAATCCTGGGGGCAGTTTATTACAGGCAGCTATGCCAAAGGTCATGTTCCAAATAAGGCCAGGCATCTGTGCTTGGAAGCACTTTCCAGATAAGGTCAAGCAGAGAGCAGGAAGCCCCTGCCGAGAAAGGGAGTCCTCCATACAGTGCAAAGCTCCTTAGAGCCATCCAGACATGGTGGACTGCAACCTTAGCAGCAGGGTCCCCCAACATATCCAGACATAACTACAGGAACCGGGATAATGAAAAGGAACCAGGGAGGTAAAGGAAAAGAAAGAATCTGAGAAGAACACTAGGAAACAGGTGTTACTAAGGTAGATACAGATTAAAAATGGGGTTATTTAAATGGGGGAATATACAAGGAATCTTGGGGATAAAGGGAAAGTAGGAGCTCAAGAGAGGTTGGACCATAGGAGAGGGTATTATCAAGGGAGAAATGGGGAAAATGTGGCAGAAGGGTTAGACAGTGAGAGAGATAAATAATGCCTAGCTACTTTTAAAAAAACAGAGGGAACCATATTAGTTCAACAGCCTGCTGACAAATTATACATATATTATCTCTACATCAGTCCATGTGTATAGCTAAAGGCTACATAACAAGAAACAGTACCAGACAGGAGATACCTTTCTTTAAGCTGTTGGCCAGGGTGGTCCAAGAGACTCCCCAAATTACTCAGGCTATTGCCACTGCCCTTGATGGCCTCCCAGAACTTGAAGGTAAGACCCTACTGCTAAAGACAGAACATATGTTGGACACAGGATTTGGAGGTCCTGCAACGGACCTGGAAGCCACTTCCACTGAAGGCAGGCTCTCATAGCTTTGGAGAACGCTATGAAAGTGCCAAGGGAAAACATCAATGGATGATCTAGCACTGACTTCCAGACCGAATATCAACATCAATGGCCAGCACAGCATAGGTCATTGGTGCAATAGTGGCACTTTTATCTTGGGGGCAATCAACACCTACCTAACTTAACTAAAAGCCCACTCAAAGGGAGGAAATTCAAGTATGGTACTGTAACATAACCTAATACACATGACCGGAGTGGTCATAGATCTTAGAGAAAACCCCAAAACACTCACATCACTAGACTAATGTGATTTCTTACTATGTGCAAAATATGTATCCTTATATTTACAGACAAATATCCCAGTTACCACTCATCAAAGAAGCTCATTTTGCAGTAGTCAGAGACTAATACCAAGTACCACAACTGGTCACACATGGACATTGTCAATGAATTGCCCAGACCTAAGGAACTCATCTGTAATACAACTTCTACACCTAAGGCTCATAGAACATAGAACAGGCATAAAGAAGAGGACACTAATGAATCAGTTCTCAATAATGAAGCTCCCTTATGCAGCGGAGAGACAGGAGGTCACAAATGAAGGTCACAAATAGCCAAACTGTAGAGATCAAGAGTCTGCTAAATAATTGTCCTTGAACAGGACCCCTTTATTAAACTTCATTCACCCAAGGCTCAGGGACCATCAGGGAAGAGGGGGTGGAAAGACTGTAAGAGCCAGGGAGGATAGGCATGACCATATGGAAACAGAGTCCTACAGGCTCCTGGGAACCTGCTCATATGATTCTATGGCATAGGTGTCAGCATACACAAGTTCCATGCAAACTCAGACAGACAGTAACCCGGTATAGAACTGAGAAAATGAACAGCAGACCCCAATCTTATCTAAAGGAATGTTGGCAACTGATTGCTGATAGATGAAGAGAAGCTGATCTTCCTAAAACAAGGGACTCTGGATAGGCTGACTAGACTCAATAGGTGGACTGGCCCTGTGGAACAGCTAGGAGTACTGACAACACAGTGGGCAGTAACAGGGATGACAGAGTATATTGGTTCCAGTGGGGGGGGTGGCTATGGGAGGGTGCTGGTGGGGAGGAGGTTATAAAGATGATTAAGATTGTTTGAGATGTTCTGTATGAAATACAAAAAAAATCATTTAAAAAATGTTTGGGTCTGAAAGGATAGAAAATAGGACCAAAGCAACTTTGTGAAGTATCTTTTTCCCTTTTATGTTTTCCTGCCTCTTGGCAAACCTTTTCTTTCTAATCTAAGTAAGTTTGGGGCAGGGGTGGGGGGTTCTCCAGCAGTCTGAAACAAGACAACCTCATGATTGGGTTCCCTCAGTTGGAAAATCTGGGAGATCTTAGAATCAGCAGATTCCTAATCCAAGTCTCCCGTAGAACTCTAAAACAGATGCTAAGTAATCTACTAGGGACATGAATTCTCTTAAAAACAACAACAAGATTTTGGATTATGTGTATTTTTTAAAGAAGAGCCTCAAATTCTAAAATACGTTTCTGCTCCCTACCCCAGAAATTAGTAATCATCACTTAAAAGACTTACTTCCTAAAGTCCTATCAGAGATGGCAAACCAACTAGAAAGAAAACAGGTAATTACAATGCGTTAGCCATAGAATTACCCACAATTGGAATAGATTTCGTATATATCATCCAATGTAAGTAGCCTTCAATAACATTTTATGCATTTTAAAATATGATAGTACTCACCTTAGTAACGTAGGCCTTAGTTAAGCAGTTTATATTCAAAGTTGCATTTTTAAATGTTCATATTCATTTCATAAAGGTAATTGTTCTGATTCCATTTCCTCTGTTTCTATATTCTATAATGTTAATAATGTCTTGGATTTATGTAGTTTCAGTTTAAGCTGAATTTCTTTATATTTCTCTGAACAAGATATAGTGGAAGAATGGTGAATAGGTTCAAATTGTTCATTAACTTCCATTGTTGGATAGGCTCTGCCTGGAGCATTTCCATAATATGAATTCTCAGGCCCTGTTTGGATAAGGGATAAAAAGTGCATTGATGGAAGCTACCATACACAGGAAGCCTTAGTGATGGAACTCAGACTGTTTACTCAGTGGTCCATTCATTTACTTGGAATTTGTCAGGGCCCTAAATTTCTTCAAAAGAATGACTTGTAAATTTTTCATAAATGTAGTTGACATTTGAAGCTTTGGATCAGTGCTGCAGGTGGCTCAGCAGTAGAACCAGATGCTTAACATATCCAAGTCTTGGAGTTTGATTCGTAGCACTGTCAAAAAAAAAGTTTTAATTAAAAGACTGAAAAAATAGGAAATTTTGGATTAAGAAAACTAAATTTAACTATCATCTGTTTCCTAGAAGCATTCAGGTAGCCAGCAACAGTGTAATTTCACTTGAAGTTTCTTCTTTTTTTCCTCATTCTTATCTGGTTTTGTTTTTGTTCTAGTCTCATATTTTCAAATAAAAACAACAACCAAGAAGAATGTAAACCAAATGAGGAAACGCTAAAATCATTCTTTCATTTTCTTTTGTAGGTTGCTCTCTCATTCCAAACAGCTGGACATTTTAAGAAGAGCAAGATCTTACATAAAGCAAGAAAAATTTGTTGAAGTAGTAAGTACACAGGCCGATTATCATTTGGGGGTCAGAGAAGAGTGAGCTATGGCATAGGGAGCACAGTGGGCAGGTCTGGTCAGGGAGCTTTCCAGAGCAGCAGCTGTTCAGCGCAATGCTTCTCCCTATTCCAGATCTGTGGCTATGTTTTCCTAGGTTAGCATTAGAAAGGAATCTTTTTACCATTTTTTTTAATGAGGAAATGAATTTCAAGTCACTGTCACCCTCTTAAGTATGATATTGTAAAGCACTACATTTCCCATTTACACTGTCAGATTCATATCACAGTTTTGACTCTAATCAGTGACTTCCCCAGTGTTTTTCAGTGTTGTGTTGTATTGTATTTTTGCATTACAGGGGCTTGAATATAGGGCCTTCTGCATATTAGGTAAGCACTCTACCACTGAGCTACATCCCAGCCTATTTTATTTATTTAATTTTTTTTCTTTTTTACTTTTTTAAAAAACAGAATCGCTCAGATGCCCATGCTGGCCTCAAATTTGCAACTCTCCTGTCTCAGCCTCTAGAGTAGCTGGGATCATACACACATGCCCCCATACCTCTCTAAGAATTCAACTTTCACAACTTTCACTTTCTTTTTTAAAAAATATTTTTTAAATTTATTATTTTTATTTTATGTGTATTTGTGTATTGCCTACATGTAGGTAAGTGCACAAGTGTCGTGTAATGCCCACAGAGATCAGAAGAGGCTGTTGGATCCCCGGGACTGGAGTTACAGACAGTTGTTAAAAGACATGTGGGTGTTGGGATTCAAACCCAGGTCTTCTGCAAGAACAACCAGTGTTCTTAACCCCTGAGCCATCTCTCCAGACCCTTGACTTTCATTTTCTAAAACTGCCTAAGTAATTACCAATCTGTGGGGGTTTTTTGAGACAGGTTCTACCTGTAGACGTAGCTGGCCTGGAACTTACTATGTAGACCAGGCCAGCCTTCCTTACCTGCCTCTGCCCTTGGGATCCAGTCTGTGTATTTTTAACAATATTTTTATTATACATTAAAAAAGAAAAGACTTTTTCTTGGCAGTATTTGAACTTGGGGCCTCTTTATTGTTAGACAAGCATTCTACCGCTGAGCTACATCCCCTACTCACTGAACTATTTTCCTCCTCTAAAATATTGGTGTTTGAGTAATGTTTTATGGTACATTTGAGTAATCTGATATGAAAGTAATATATATATTTATGCACACATACTTATTTTTATATATGGACATCTGCATTATTTGGGATATATGCTAGAGAATCTTCATTTCCTTATTTGTCCTTTTAAGGCCTTTTTTGCATAACAAATTATTTTAAAATGCGACATAGATCACAGATAGTTTACATTAAAATGCTCTGTCTTACTAAATTAAAAAGTCCATTTTATTTGGCATTTTCCTCATGCTTTATGCAATAAGATCCTCAGACAATTAAAATTTGTTCCTAATTTCCTCATCTACAATTACTCAATTGTAGGAACTTCACAATTTCCTTTCCTTGGAAATTGGTTTTCATTACTTCGATGTGCAAGATATATATCTTTTTATCTCCATAGGTCTCCCTTTGTGAGGAGCTGATTGAGCTTGCATTGAAGGGATTGTCCTATTACCACACTTATGACAGATTCTTCTTGGGTATCAATGTTGCTGTTGGTTTTGTGGGATGGACATCTTATGCTTCTTTGTTGATCATCAAGTCTCATTCTAATCTTACAAGAGGTGCGAGTAAAGAAGTTAAGGTAAGTTCAGAAGATATAAGGAAGATTTGGATAATGGTGTAAAAGTCACTAGTCCTAAGGTCTAAGACATTGAAACAAATCCTGTGTAGTGAGCTCATACAATGTATGACTCATAGCTCTAAGCTGACTGATTTATTTTTTCCTTGGCTTTTGTTGTATTGCATATGTTTCTTGCGTCTGTTTCTTCAGTTGCTAAGAGGATGTATTGAGTATTGGCTGAAGCATGAAGATAAATGTATAGAGTTCCTCTGTAGTCTTAATGATGTTGATTTTCTGTTTTTTAAATAACTATTCAACATATTTTAAATATTCAGTACACTTCTAGAGTAAGTAATTTGGGGCTGGAGGGATGGCTGTGTGGTTAAGGGCACTAGCTGCTCTTCCAGAGGACCTGGGTTTGATACCCAGCACCCACATGGCAATAATAACTGTCTGTAATTCCAGTTCTAGGGAATCTGACACCCTCTTCTGGCCTCTGCAGGCATTGCACAACATGGGTACACTTACATGCAGTCAAAACACTCATACACATAAAAATAAATAATTAAACAAATTATAGAATAGGTAATTAGAAACTCCTACTTCAAGGCAAGTATTTTAAAATTTATCTGATATTAAGTTTAGGAGTTGGATAAACAATAAAGTCACTTGCTTAAATGTCCTTTTTAAATAATATCTTAGCTTTTCTGAAGTTATTCTTTCAACTTTATGAAATTTCTAAAAAAATATAATTTTTCGGAACATTTTATTTGCCTAGCTTACTGTGCTTTCAATGAAAGAAAAAGTTAAACTTCTTTAAACAGGAAAATATAACAGGTTATATAACATTTTATTGCATTAAATCACTACTCTCTTAAAATACTCTGCTAACTATCATTTACCAGGGAGAATATCTTGCCTCTATTTCCTTTGCTTCATTTTCTCTAATGATTATTACCATATTCAAATCTTCTAAAAAATAATGTATTCTGACAGCATATTTTTAAATAATACTCTATAAACATTTGTAGTGATAATTTTTCCTATTTTATATTTCATTTGTCTGTAATATACAGAAAAACATTACTGTTTAATTCATATTTTTACAATTCTGTAATGCATTTTAAATAATTTCTTCCAAGTAATTTTAATTATTCAATTTATTTAGAGTTGGCTGTAATAGGAATTGCTTCCTACCTGGTAGGAAAAGACACAGAAATAAACTATTTGGTAATGGATAGATATGTCTAGGCATTCTACTGAGTACTTGGAATATATTCTGCTGTCAGCCGCATAACAGCACTGGAAGTAAGCATTATAACTTCTGTTTACAAAAGATGAAACTGAAGCTGAGGGGAATTGACTCCTTGGTAATGGCCTCTCAGCCAGGATGTATGGAACTGAGATTTGAACCTTTGTGCCAAAGATAACCTATTCATTTTTCTCCTGCTGTTCAGAATATTGAAAAAAGATGAGATATTTTTATTAGTGTGTCAAGATTTCAGAGCTGATAGTTCTTTTTGTTCATTAATTTGATAATGTAGTAATATTGAACTGAGTATATAGTATAATACTAAGTGCTATTAGGCCATACAGAGAAATATGAGATTCAGATTTTACCATCAAGAATCTTTTAATTAGGGGTTGGAGGCTCAGCAGTTAAGAGCACTGAATGCTCTTGTAGAGGACTCAGGTTCTGTTCCCAGCACCCACATGGAGGCTAACAACCAATTGTAACTCCATTTCCTGGGGATCCAACACCCTTTCTGGCCTCCACAGGTATTGCATGCATGTGGTACACTTATATACATGCAGGCAAAACATTCATACACATAAAATAAAAATAAATTTTAAAAAATTTTAAGAGAATTTTATAATTAAATGAAGAAATGAACAAACATAGCCAAATTCCTTGATATCTATCACTATATATCGTATTACAAATGTTTAGGATGATATAAGAATTATCATTATTGTGGTTGTTTGTTTAATTTGTTTGGGGGTTTTTGGTTTTGGGGGGGTGGTTTGAGACAAGTTTTCCCTGTAATCCCAGCTAGCCTGGAACTTGCTGTGCAGACCATCCCAGACTGTTCTGCCTGCTTCTTGCTCCTGCCCAGTTTTATGTTAAATAAAACTCTATTTAACTAGAAATCTGAGGACAACTTGCAGTAATTGATTCTCTCCTTCCTACCATATGGTTTCCAGGGATTGAGCTCAAGTCATCAAGCTTGGAGGCAAGCGTCTTTACCTACAGAGCTATTTTGCTTGCCCTGATGCAATTAAATACTCTTAATTTTGTGACATGCCTGCTTTTGTTCTTTCTTGTTCTCAGATCTTGGTAAAATCCCCAGATTTTAATTCCATAAATCAGATTCCATCATTCTCTCTCCACATGTGGAATTAAATTCTGTGCCAGCCACCAGCTAGTACAACTAGGAGAGTCTGTGGCTTAATAAGTGTCTGTTGGATGAAGGAAAATAGTCACAAGGCATGGTTTGTTATCAGGCCATTTGGAGAGGACAGGCAGAGTCAACTGAGAATGAAGTAGAAAATAGCCCCTTTTCGAATGGCTGGGGGTGCCGACAACACAGCAGACAGTAGCAGGGATATCAGCATATAAGGGCTCTAGTCGGGGGAGGGAGGCTATGGGAGGGGGCTACCTGGGAAATGGGTGTATAAAAAAATTCTTCAAAGCATAAAAATTTGCTCCTTAATAATTAGTAGATGTGAAAAACATCACTGTTGAAATCTACCTGATGACTTTATATCCATGCACAGATCCTAAGGAGCTCAGAAAGTAACCAACTGTGACTAGTAAACAATCAGATATATAGAGATTAGAAACGCATATGCATCTTAGTGTCAGTTGTATTAAAAATGAATTTTTCTGTATGAAACTGTGTATTTTAATAATGAAATGGAGATCTTTTTCAAAGTTTTGGACCTCATTTGATTTTATGTCTTATAGGGTTTATACAGAGTACAATATTGTATAACTGTATTAATTCAACTGTGAACCTAATAATTTACAGCCAGTTTTGAAAGAGAAGCATCTTAGCTCTGGATTGTTATTGAATATGTCAACGCTGTTGTAATGAAATGCCTCTTCTAATCATTTGGTTATGAAATAAATCATTTTTAAAAAAGAAAATAGCCCATTTTTCTTACTTAAAATCATTTCAGTTTTATTGTCTTATAGGAATAGCTGAACTTAATTCTTTAGCTTCCTACAAAGAAATGTCTTTCTCATGTATATTATTGTATATATCAAAGCATTAGATAATTCTATATTGTATTAACAAGGAAATCGAAGTGCTTTTTAGCACTCATTTCTTTAATTTCTTACTATTTTACACTTTTCAAAAGTATGTAAACAGGCTCCAGCTCTTACAATTGATAGCTGCCTTAACCATCTTCAAGTTTAGAGACCTCATCTGTCCACATCTATTTAAGTTTTGTCCCTTCCATCCCCCATCTTTTTGCCATGGAACCTTCATTGCTGTCTTTTACATCTTGATTTCTTGTGCTATTCATTGAGAGGTTTCTGTAATAACTTTTGAGACTAGCGCAAAGGAGAATAAGAACAATAGTCATCATTTATTAAGCAGCAACTATATTCCAGTTAATCTCTATCTATTCTAATTTAGTATTGGCAACTAAATAGGTATGAGATTATTATTCCCATTTTATAGATGGAGCAAAACTATGTCTAAGGAAAGCTTTTTACTTTGCTCATGGGTCAGAATGAGAACATACAGCCAGTTTATGAATTCCAATCTAACTTCAAGCTCTTAGATACAATGCTATGTTTTAACTGCATTTTAACAGCTAAGCCCTAATTTATCTTTCATTATTACTTCTCAAATATTTTTATATTTTATTTATTATTTTTATTTTATGTGTATGAGTGTATTGTCTGCATGTCAGTAAGTGCACCCATATCATGCAATGCCCGTGAGGACAGAAGAGGCCTTTGGATCCCCTGGAACTGGAGTTATGGACAGTTGTTAGCTGCCATGTGGGTGCTGGGATTCGAACCTGAGGCATCCGCAAGAACAACCACTGTTCTTAACCACTGAGCCATCTCTTCAGCCCCTACTTCTCAAAATATTTTATGCCAATAGAGAAAACAACAAAAAACAGTGGAAAACTTTACCTCTTCCTCCCTAGGTGCCTATGCTTCCAGAAAGAGGTTCTTAATTCCCACCTCATACACTTTTTGTCTAACGTTAGCTGAGGGGAAACAGAAAACATGGAATGGAGGTTAAAAAAAAAATCATCTTGTTGCTGGGCATGATGGCTCATGCTTTTAATCCCAGCACTCACGAAGCAGAGGCAGAGGCAGGCAGATCTCTCTGAGTTCGAGGCCAGCCTCGTCTACATAGTGAGTTCCAGGCCAGCTGGGGCTACTGGGAGACCCTGTCTCAAAATGACTTAAAAAAAAAAAAAAAGAGCACACCATGTTACCTTTGCATTCCTGTCCTCCCTTCATATCCCTTTCTTCTCTTCAGGTATGCTTAGTATCTTCTGAATGTACTTAATGTACTTTGTACCCTTCTGTAACTACTATTTCAGACCCTAGAACTCTAGCTATTAGCATCATAAGTTCCCATATATGTTTCCTTTTCCCAGTTGTTAGAATGCCTGTCCCTGACCCTCACATAGTTATGCTTTGTCCAAAGCATCAGTAGGCAATCATGGACTGTGGAGGCTAGCACTAGTGACCTACATTTGGAACTTCCTTGTTTAGCAGGTGGTTGAAGAGTAGGTGAACACACTGTGGCTAGGCAGTGGGAGAGACAAGTTGGAGCTTGAGAAGATAGAAACTGTTCCAAATAAAGAATAGGTCCCATAGTTTATTATGTATTGAGTAAGCTTTTGTGAACCAGCTGTAGAAGTCAGTCAAGATACGCAAGAACTTTTTCTAAGAAGAAATATGTTCAGAGTTCTGAATAAGTTACTTGAAAACCAACTATAGGACCACTGTCAATTTTCAGCTGAGAATTGTCTAACTGTAACAGTTCTAAGATAGCCAGTCTTTTCTGCTATAATATCTGCCTCAAATGGCAGATTTTTCTTTTTGAAATAACTCCGATTAATCATCTATTGCAGAAATACTGAAAGTAATTTTTTCACTTTATAAAGTCTTAAAAACTGTCAGTCAGCATGGATTCAGAAGTACTTCAATGTTGTTTCATTTGCAGAAGCCACACCATCTCCTGCCATGTAGCTTTGCAGCTATCAGTGTTTTAGTATCATGCTTCCTGCTGATTCAAGCCTGTCCCTGGACTTATTATGTGTATTGTTTGCTGCCAGTGCCAATATGGTATGCAGTTCTAAGAGAGTAAGTAATGTACTTCTGTGCCTTGGTTTCCATTTCACTGGCAATTAATTGTGTATTTAAGATGCATTAGATTTCTGTAGCATAAGTGATCAAAAATACCTGTAATACTTTGAAATATCCAAACCCTCTCACTCCATTTATAACTGCAATATGTTACATATTGAACATCCTTTTTTGTCTTGCCTTTCCTTTTTAACATTATCTGTACTGCCTTGAGGTAACGGTGACCTTGCTTTGAGTACTTTTTAAAGAAAAATATAGAATAAAAGTAACAATAATGACTGTGCTGTTCATGAGTATCTTACATTTTGAAGTTAATCATCTTATATTCCAAAATATCTTCATGCTTTACAAAAAGATTACATGTTTTCTTTCCATATGCTTTCCTCCTCCTTCCTAGGCATCATATGAACCTAGACAAATCAAATGTTATAATTAAGTCAAATGCAGTAAATAATGTATACAAACAGAGATTAGTCCACATTATTCACAGGTGCTGTAGTTCTATGTCTAAGTGCTTCCTAATATTTTGGTCTTAAAGTAGATTTTTCCTATTACAGCAAACCTCAAAAGTAAATTAGGTCAGCCACGTTTCAAGCACTTTAAGGGGCATCCTCAAGATTGAGTTAACAGGCTGGATATGACAGGCCTGTAGTCCCAGCACTGAGGAGGATCTCAGGTTCTAGGTCTGGGCTCTATAGGGAAACTGTCTCAAAACAACAGAGATTGTTGCAGAGGAGAAAAAAAAATATTATAAAAGCCAGAAGTGGAAGATGAATACAAGGAATACAAGGAAACCATGTTGTGTGAACAGGGCAGTTGCACATATGATCCCATATCACTTGTGACAGCATGTGCAAGACCTGTGCTAGCTCAGCCAGACAAAGAAACAACATGGACTGGGGAGGTGGACAAGAAGTCCAGCTCTAGCTGAGGCAATTTATAGCTGTTAGGAGAGGGAGAGTCAGTTTTCTTTAAGGGTGTGATGCCTGGTAGGTTGACCAGACTCTGAGGGATAGATCTATACCAAAGAGCATTTCGGGAACACAAATTAGATTCAGTAGGCCTTTTTAAAAAATGGAGGACATGAAGTTGGAGGTGGGGAGTAGTTAGTTGGGTGGCAGTATAGATGGGGGAGGTGGTCTGAATGTGATAAAAATATATTGTATGAAATTCTCAAAGAATCAATAAAAAACATTAAAAAAATCTGCTTATGACTGGTAATAATCAGATACATACAGATTAGAGATGCATAGACCAACATCTCAGTGTTAGTAGCAAAAAAAAATGAGTCTTTCTGCAAGGAACAATATATTCTAAAATTAAATGGAGATCTTTTTTAAAGGTTAAAAACTCATTCAATTTTATGTCTTACAGGGCTTATACTGAGTTCAATATTGTATAACTATTAATTCAACTGTAAACCTAGAAACTTGCACCCACTTGTGAAAGAGATGTACTTTTGCTCTGGAGTGTGTTACTGAGTATGTTAAAGCTGTAGTGAAATGCTTCTTCTAATCATGTAGTTATTAAAATTTAAAGAAAAATAAACAAACAAACAAAAAAACATGGCTAACATGTTCATCATGACACCAAATATTTTTATTCTAATATTTGTTGACTCTAGCTTTAACTACTTCCATCTTTTAAAATTATCAAGTATGAAAAATATTTAGGTTTGGAAACATTAAAAAATGAAAATGCTTATATTTAAAAGGAGTGAGTTTTCAAATTTTATTTATTTTTATTTTATGTGTATGAGGGTTTTGCCTGTGTGTATGTAAGACCACCACATACTTAAAATGCCCACAGAGGCCAGAAGAGGGTGTCTGTTCCCCTGGAACTGGATTTACAGATGGTTGTTAGCTGCCTTGTTGGTGCTGGGAATCAAACTGGAGTCCTCTGCAAGAGAGTGTCCTTAACTGAGCCATCTCTCCAGCCCCAATATTAGTTATTTTTAAATATAAGAGAAAGAGACAGAGACCAAAGGATGTACTGTTCCTTCTCCATTTGTAAGGATTAGGGTTGTAGATTATGCTTATTTGACTCACTTTTTTTTTCTGATGTCGTTTTCTGGTTCCACATCTCTAAAAGGTTTTCCATCCTTGAAGAAAATACTATTCTACTGCAGAACTCCTCTTGAATTATTAAATATTTGAATTATAAAGATAACATGTATATTTCAATTTTAAAGGACAATGTGATTTTACAAGTATTTATATTTCATTTTATCTTTTTGATAGATTACATAGAAAATAAAACATAAAAACTGAGTTTTTAGGCTAGCCAGATGGCTCAGCAGGTTAAGGCATTTGCTGTCAAGCCTGATGACCTGAGTTTGATCCTTGGGACCCACATGGTAGAAGCGAAAACTGACTCCCACAGTTTGTCCTCTGACCTCCACACGCATATCATGGCAGTCACCTGCTCACATATATGCATAATAAATAAATAGAATAATATTTTAAAAATTTGTGTTCTGCTGGGAAAAAAACCTTCAAAATGTTTTATTTAGTCATCTTTTTTTGCCTATTTGCACACTGTTGAAAACAAAAGAAATGGTCTCCTTTTGGTTTGTACTAGTCTTTCTTTCCTACATGGCTCCTTAGCAGTTTGATAGCATTCAGTACCCATTGTTTTCAATCAGGAAAAGGTCATAAACCAAATGATACTGACCTTTTATAATTACCTACTTAATGCCCTACAAATGCTAAAGTTTTTCTTCTCAATAATGAAATATAGAATGTACTCAAGTATGTAATACATTTTTGGTGGTTATAAATTCTCAATTACAATTAGTGTACAATTAATGACATCTTAAATTGGGTTTGGAAAAGGTTATTTGGCTCAGTTAAAAATTGCAGTTAAGTTGGGAGCAGTGTTACATGCCCGTAATCCCATCTCCTCTTAAAGTTGTCACAAAATTGGGAGTTTGAGGCTAGCCTGAACAATTTAGCAAGATCCTGTCTCTAAATAAAGTTTAAATTAAAAGACTAGAGATGCTGGGTATGGTGGTACACGCCTTTAATCCCAACACTCAGGCAGAGGCAGGTGGAGCTCTGTGAGATTCAGACCAGCTTGGTTTATGTAACCAGTCCCAGGCCAGCTGGTGCTACAGGGATACTCTGTCTCAAAAAAACAGGAAAAATAGCCTAGTGGTAGCTTAGTGGTGGAATGCTTTCTTTGACATGTGCAAAGCCCTAGGTTCAATCCTTAGTGTGGTAGATAAACAAATAAATGCAATTAAGATTTTCTTTACTGGGACTAGAGATGCAGCCCAGTGGTGGAGTGCTTTCCTAGCATGTGTAAGGCCGCTTGGTTCAATCACCAACACATCAGGTGCAGGGGAGAGGGGACTTTTACTTAGATTAGGTAAAATTACTTCTATTTTAATAAGATTGTCAAGATTTTAAAGGTTATCTAAGTGAGTTTAATTTTTTCAGTTTGCATAATTTGAGTTCATTTTATTTCTGATTAATCTGTAATGTGTGTGCCTTTGTTTAAACTAAGAGCATGTCATTGTGACTAATGTTTATACATACCAAGCAAATGCATATGATCA